TTAGCGGTCAAAAAAGCTCATTAAGAAGCCGGCATCCTATAGAGACTAAAATGACTCGAGAATAAGCTACATGCTAATCAATATTTCGACCTCACTCAATGCCGATAAGCGAGTGAGTATCAAACTTTCGCAACTGTCGGCATGTTGCGCGAATTCTGAGCCATACCGTATTACTGTCTCTCATGATGAGTTTGAAGAGGAAGTTTACATTTCAGGCGAGTATAATTCTTGTTCCAATCAACACCTATGTCCATTTTCAGTCATCCATCTTTTCTCCGCTTATTTATATCTTGGAATATATTCAGTTGCCATAGATGGAATTCATTTAGGATTGAACTTTAAAAAGAAACGATGCCAGATTTTCCCCTCTTTTTCCTGGCCTTCTATATATACTCCTCCCCCACCCTCCCTCGTCCTCTCTCTCTCTCTTTCTGTTCCTTCTCCTCTCATTCCTCAGTAATGGTCTGTCCTTTTTTAATTACATGAACTGTGGCGCCGATTATCTTCAACGTTCTTCTCCTTCCCCTATAAACAATATCCTAATCAGCATTTCATCACCAGTGAGAGGTCCATGATTTAAAAGTACAAATTACTGGTAGGAAATTGAGGATAGAAGGCAGAAAAGGCAGTCGAAGTTTTACTAATATCGAATACCCATCCTTCAAGCTTGTTGGCTGCGTTTGAGAATCTGAGAGGAATTGGTCAGCGTGGACTGAGCTCTGGCTCTGAGATCAGTAAAAACCTACCTGTGACCGCAATCACTGCAGTCGTAATTTCAGGGGGAAAGGTGCCCTCACTGGGGAGTTTTGCGAATCACAAAACCGATCTGCACTTGAATATTGAACTTAAAAAGCTTGGGTCGGTGTCTGTGAGTGCAGCATGTTCCTCGTCGACAAAGAATGACAGATAACACTAGATTTTAAAGAATGTATTGTATTGCCAATACAGGCGAATATGCGAGTCCCGGGAAGTAATTCAGAAGAAGAAGATTCGATGGCTAGGACAACACTTTTTTCGCCTGGCGTTTCGACATTTGTCGCGGATTCTTCATCAGAGACATGAGCAGGAAGTACTAGCAGAAATGGGTAGCGTATGCACAGGAATTTGCAGTAGTTATAAGACATAATCATTACTGTAATCGTCTAAAGGCAGTTATCGATAATGGTCCTCTTGTACGTTGATAGCCTGTTGACCGGCACGCGGGCTCTGACTTACTGAATTTTATCCCGCGTGGTGGACTCGGACGCGGTGAGTGCTAGGCCATCTGGCTCTCCGGTGTTAGCGTAAGACGATGCAGTAGCCTGTGCGTTTTCCAAATGGCAACTTGCTTCGGCCAAATTAAGCCTCAACACCGAATAAGGATTGGGCAAATCGTTGCACTTATTTACGGATTAGGGGCCCGTGAACCACGACTCAAGTAATTCTCGGCTTACACGATTGTCACCTCTTGTAAGAATATTGGCCTCATCAAGGTTTAATGCGTGGCCGGGTCTCGAACAATGAGCCGCAACTTGAGAATTGGCATCAATGCGTTGCACTGCTGCTGCGTGTTAGGCCATTCGCGTCTTGAGAAGTCTGCCAGTTAAGCATAATGCAAGTGTCTTTTTGGACCCTTTAACACTTTTAATGGCCCATCGGGCGACCGTTTGGACACTAGTCCAAATGATCCGAAAAGGATTGCAACGCCTATTGTCTCATATACAACAAACATTTGGGAAAGGCAATGCTTTAAGGGGTGCTATTGCTTTTGCGTGAGTCTAGACGAACGGAGCTGCATTTACATACTTTGCTATATGCAGAGTGACTCACGGATATTGATATTAAAGCAAATAAGTCGTCCGGATAAGGTCTAAGTTCAAACCCACTCATGAACATTAGTAGTATCTAATGTGCTAGCCCTAGTTCGACTGGGCATAAACATGCAGCCTCCTTTTTGTCTCAGCCGAATAAGATAACGATTGGGAAACTATCATCTAGGTCGGTTTGTGTAGCGCCTTAATAAGCAAAGATAATGTTACAGCGTATCTACCATACTCAGTTATCCTTCCTACATATCTAAGGAAAAATCACCACTGCGACATAGTATACAATGTCATAGTAAAACAAACTGCTGGGTATTTTAAAGATTCATGTATGATGTTCGTATGAAGGGGGAAGATTTCTTCTATTTTATCTGAAACCTGTATTGATCCTTCGCTTTCCCTTTTCTTGCAGACGCAAGCCAATGGTAAACTCATCACTCAGTTCTCCAGGTTCGACAATACTCGAGAAGATTCCTCTAACAAGCAAGTGTGTTCTGTGGCTTTTAAAAAGGAATATTGATGAAACGATTTTCCCTCAACTGACTCAATTATAATAATTGTTTCCTGAGACCATATTTTGACCGCTCCGGGGCAGTGTATTCCCCTTAAAAATGAATTGGACTGGTCTATGCGTTTAACTGTGTAGTTTCATTGAGTTGCTACAAAAGATCACTTAAAAACATAATCTGGAACCTCGGCACTATAGCCACATCTAGAGAGCGGTTTTGAACGTACAAATTTTGTTTTGACTAACGACATTTTTTCGACATTCTTCAGCGGGGAGTAAGCGGAAATTAAGCGTGTGGTGAAAATATGGAGCGGGTTTGCTAAAGGTGGGGTGCAAAATAGGGTTCGGAGCAGATCACGAGGTGGACTGAAATTTTAAAAAAAGTATAATTTGCTACTTGAGAAAATATTTAAGAATTCATTCATTGACGCTGAATAATCGCTAACGGGACTCATTTGACCCGTTCTGTCTTAGGGCCTACTCTCGAGTCCCGCCAGCAGTCGTATAGCAGATATTAGTTTAGGCAGATGGACCCTGCCGGAAAACTTAAGAGATACTAGAACAACCATTTCAGACACATTAACCGTCATCAGCCAGTCATGCCAAACCCCAAGTGGTGCACCATCTGATGGCTAATGAGCCATAAATGACCATTCCAGTCTCCCTCAACTTCGCCGAAAATTTGAATCTGATTATTACATTTTTGACTTCAGATGGATCTGACAAAACATAGGAAGACTGGAATGGCCGTTTCTGGCTTGTCAACTGTCATCAGCCAGTCATACCCAATCTCAAGGGTTGGAACCCGCGAGATTTGAACCCGGGCCCTTTCGTCATTGAGTTCAATAGTCTACCACGGCACCACGGGCTCCTTGCTTTGTCGGTTGAGATCAGGAATATGATGAAAATATATGCTTCGCCAATCTAGTAGAAGAACAGTTAAGTTCCGTTTTGTCATGGAGCTCACAACATGAACCCGCCAGACCGTCACATAGTGATGTGATGATAGGATGAAATCGTGCCCTGGTAGGGTATTGAACTCAATGACCAAAGGTCCCGGGTTCAAATCTCGGGTGTTCCAACCCTTGAGATTGGATATGACTGACTGATGACGGTCAACAAGCCAGAAATGGTCATTCCAGTCCCCCTTTGCTTTGTCAGACTCATTTCATCATATAATCATAGTCACTATGTGACGGTCTGGCGGGTTCACGTTGTGAGCTCCTTGGCAAAGGGGAAATTAGTTGTTCCTCTACTAGATCGGCGAAGCACATTTATTCATTTTTTACTTGTTTATCGTTTTCCCCTGCGTTCTCCCGCAACGATCATTCATAGCATCTTTTCCCTGGTGCCTTAGGCGTTTTTTCGCCACTTTTGCTGCCCACATTGTTTTAACTTGCTGACGTTATTGATTAGTCTTCCTAGCCATTTTCTATGACCTTGCTGTTTGCATCGATTTTTCTGTACGAATTCAATTTTGTATTCTCTCTTACGGTGTTCACCTTATCCAATGAGAGGAAACAGCTAACGAACACTCTCGAAATTTATGGATCCAATAAATTCTGCTGTTTACGCAAGTTTAAAAGTCGCCTCCATTCTCATTCCACTGGTACCTTCAACTGTCGCCATAAACTAGATGCAGCATCAGAAGTAAACGTTGCCCTGCTTTACAAAGCAAGCGAATCAGTGTAGTCCAAATCGACGACGAAAACGACAAATAGGGGGTGCGGTTTTAGGACTCTGCTTTCCGACCTACCGTGGTGTTGGAGTAAATCAGACTGTCTAGTAGTTGAAGACCTCGATTGGGCAAAACCCAACGAAAAACCGCTAGGTAAAACAACTCTCATTGGAAAGTTCTTGTAGAAAGCACTTAACTACAAAAAAAAACCAGCAAGTGCGGCAAAATCCCACGCCCTATTTTGTCAGTTCTGGCACACTGCCTTTGGCTAGTCAGTACTAGACAAATGCTCGTGCACATGCATGACAGAACTGTTAGTTCGGAAAAAAATGAACTGAGAGGACAGGGTGAAAGGGGGAAGAATAAAGGAGGGAGGAGGAGGGCGGGGACAGATGGCGCATGACCGCGAGAAGTAGAAAAGAGTCTATGCCCATTCGTGGGCAAAGAAAGTAGTTTGACCAATCAGAAGCTGAGGCGCGTTGATTGTCGAGACCGCATTTGGGGTATGTAAGGAGCCATAATATGATTCGCTGAAAGGGGCTCACTCAGTGTTGCACAAGACTTGGCACAGCGGACGAGGTTAATTAAATGCTGCCGCCAGAAAGCATCTACATAGGAGCTTCGGCAACCTGCGGACCCTGATGTCTGTTTCTTGCCTCAATTAACCTCATTTGCATCCGTCCCTTTGCCTTGCATAAGGCCACCCTGACCTCCCTTTCTTCGATGTCCTTACCAGCCTTTGCTTTTTTTATTGAACCAACAAGACTTTCTATCTTACCATACATATGCAGTTGTAAAGCTCTAATGTTAGTGTGAATGCATGCCGATGGGCGTGTCGAAAAGACATGCCTTTCGCTGGGAACCTTCAAACAATTGTAGATAGTTTGGGTATTATTTTGCTCGTACTCCAGCGTCTTGCTGATATGCCTAATGGCTGTTTTCAAGATCTGCAATTTGTGAGAAGTTTCCTTATTTAGATTAAATTGACTGCTCGTTTTTTACCGTTAGGCAGATGGATAATTATAGTGATACACCTAAAACCAGTTTTCTTCTCATCATTACCAGGTTTGCAATGTGGATCAATGAAGTATCCTCTCTCTTCGGTGGACTGGATATGTGTTCAATTAAAGTGGTTCAGGACACAAATGGCGACTACTTCATTCAGGATGTCAGTTCTTGAGTACTTGGTCTCCTTTTATTTTTACTGCAACTCTAAGAAAAATGACCCCCGATAGAGCATAAACTTCACTTCAGGAAGAATCTAGGGCAGAAGGTTTACTGGGAACAATAAATGATTCTTTCTTGCAAAGTTTCCTTTCAGGAGATAAATAAATTTACATGGCCTGTAGCAATAAAATTTTCTTAGAAATATGTTCAATACAGAGTATGATACTAACTGAAATGGAAAGTCGTAGAGATAATACAGCTGCTTTGTCAGTCTTCTCCTACCGCGAGTTTGTCCAGGATGTACATGGGAAGCTGGAAAACATATTTACATTTTGCAAATGTCTTTGACTCTCCAGGTCTTCAAAACGAATTGGTCTTATGAATATCCATAAACGACGATTTCAGCAGCACACCTTCAAGCAAACGATAGCGCAGACACGAAAAACGGCTGGTTAGAAGTTGTGCAGGTTCTTGCTAGTTGGAAACGTCAGGAGAAATTGGACTGGTTCTTTTGTTCCATCAATCATCCGTTTCATCTACAGCGGCAATCTCACGTTTTTAGATTTTTATAAATGACACTTGGATAGTTAGATCCCCGCCTGCCGATAGGAATCTATTTGATCGAATGGAAGGAGAGAGACTGAAATCACTAGCTTCGGCCCTATCAAATTTTTGGAGCAAAAGTTCACTGAGGTTATATGAAACTGTTTCTCACAGCTTACATCCATTATTCTTTTAAATATAGCTTATAAGCAGCAAAGAGACAGAAAAATATTTTCAATACATTGGTTTAACTAAAAATCACTTTTTGCCATTTGTAAAAAACAGAGGTTCCTGTTAATTTCTCCTGATTAAAATACTATTAACGGTCATATCGTGAAAGTCTACGAATATCTTTTTGTCAGGCAACTCAGAGAAATCTCATTAAACAAGTCTAGGGTAAAAATAATTGTACAACTCTGCAGTTCGACTCCAGTAAACTAGAATTAGGGTGGATGACAATGTTTGACAATAAGAGCCTTCGAAAAGTACTGCGGCCATGATTCACACAACGTCTAGTAAACTGGGAATTTCACGGTTGATCGAATCCCCTATTAAAATACGGTTGTCCCTATGATCAGGTCGCTTACGTAGTTTACTTAGTAGTCTGCTGTTCAGTAGCGTCAGTCTTCCGATCTCTTGTCCATTTTGGCGCGCAAATGTGGTAAACGGCGGGGGAGGGGAGGGGTGGTTTGTTCTGATCTTGCGAGGATGCTGGATCTGATGGTGCTCAGTTTTCAGGACTGAAACGCAAAATAAACATGCTCAGCTTTCACAAAACCTGACTTTCCACAGCTCCTGGATGGAGAAGTCAGCCTACCAGTGGTCCTGGCCGTTACATGTACCAGTTATTGGAGCAGTTGAAAGTTTAGAGAGATCTCTCAATTTGTCAAAAACTGCAAATTTGTATAGTCTTATCCAGTGACTGAACAGATGACCCTTTATAACCCGTAGAAAACTCTTTCAAAGGGTAATAGATAGTAAAATTTAGTGCTCAGATTTAAGTTGCTCGAAAACTGTACACAAATAACTACTGTTCGCCTTTTATTAGGCGTAGTTATGCTTATTACTGCACCCCCAACATAGAAATCTTTGGCTTCCTGCGTTAACTTTTATTTTCAGTAGCTGAAGTTTAGTTTTGAGTTTATTATTTAGTTTATCAGACTAATTTAAATTATAGTTAATTTGATTTTAATTCAATCTATTTTTAAGCGGTTCCTTTTCGGCTTATCGTACTGGTATATCTGTACAAATGCATTAGAAACTATGGTTAGGTTTAAAAAATCATGGAAAATCCTATCCTTCATAGTTTTACTTTAATTTCTTATTTCGAAACAGAGTCGATAAAGGAATGTGTCTAATTCGCGGGTACTTTGTACAGTTCCGGTTTTCTATTGGTGGTATTTCTCATCTTAATTATGGCGTAACAAACATTAGGTTATCGAAAAAAATTTTATTATTATTTTCTTTCTTTACGTTTCGCCTTATTTTTTCTTTCTCCTGACCCATCCACAAAACCTCTTTTACCACCGATCCTGGGGCTAGGGACATTTAATTTTGCCGACAAACTTTATTGTTGATAGTGTTTTTTATCTTAAAGTCAACTACAATTTGCACGTTCTCCAATGATCTAACAGAAAACATGGCAAATTTTATTTTCAGGTTTTTGGTTCGGAATTTGCATTGCTTGGTGATGGCCAAGAGGAAGATCGAATGCGTATTGCGGAGTTAGTGCTACAGAAGATGGAAGAGCTGATTCGTGCTCCTGCAGCGTACGTCTTGATTTTATCTGCCCATTATCTTTTTCCCATAAAATGTCCTGGTGCTTACAGATTGCATCCTCTAGTGGATACTGCAAAGGAAAGCAGTCCTGAGATTTAATGAGACCATTTTAAAGTGCTGTCTGCCTATGAAGCTTTGGTTTTGGGGGCTTGTCAGATGAGAGTGTAAATAGTCTGCAAAATTGGAAGGCAGGTCTCCCAAGAAATGTAATTTCAAGGAAGGACGTTCTTTAGGAAAATAAGATAACTTTATTCAGTAAATTTCCGTGACTGGATCCCCAGGTCTTCCTCAGACTTGAGAAAATGTACAAAGAGCAATGAAAATTTCAAATGTGCTGGTTCAGTTATATAGTCATCTGGCGTGAGCACTAATTCGTAGCTGCAATTTTCGTCTGTTCATGATGGATAGAATTAGTAGTCGCAATAGCGTGATGGCCAATTAGCAACTGTAATTTGCGTCAGTCTGGGGTCAGTCCGGGTCATCCGGTGTGGGCGCTGATTAATATTTGCGGTTCACATCAGTCGGTAATGATCGGCTGTAGTCTCTTTCATCTTTCTTTCATCTTCTTTCATTTTGTACATTCTATCCAACTCGATAAGTTAGTTGATGCATGAATCATCGGAGTGCATGGCCTCAAGAAAAAGTCGACATTTTTTGGAAGGGCAAACTTCGACGATGCGTGTTTCGGAGTTCGTTGTACATTTTCTCATGTCTGAGGACGACTTGGGGATTCAGAGTCGAAAATTTACTGAATAAAGTTACCTTAATATCCCAAAGAACGTCTTTCCTTGAAAATCTGCAAAGTATTTCAAATAAGAGCCCTTTTCGAGTGACTAAAATTAGTGTAAATGAAAATGTAGGAAGTTCAGACTCGCTTAGCATCCTTTTTAAATCTAGGGAACCTACTCTTTAATTTCCATCCAGCTGCATATGTCCAAGTGCAGGCTTTTGTGCGCATCTGTATTTGAATAAATAGAATGCACAACTATATCAAGAAGTAACCCTTTTTTGAAAAATGACCTGATGAAAATGGAGAATAGGTAATGCGTGCAAGATTCACAGATAAGATGTTTTGCCGCCAGACAGAAAATTAGACCATCAATTTAGACCACTTAGTACTAAACCAAATCAGCTGTCAGGGAGAGATCGAATTTTGGCATCTTTGCAAGCAAAGTGCGCATGAGGTAATTTTTTTAAAGGGACATTGAGACTAACTTTCTGGAGATTTTTTTAACCGCAGGGAAGACCGCTTGCACATAACTAAATTTTATTTACTTCTGCTAACAAAATAAACCTCTCGTCTGAGTCAACTGAAGGACTGATTTTGAGACAGAAATACATATACGAAGAACTCCAACAAAACAAGACCAAATAGGTAAGAGATGAAATTCATTTTAAAAAGCACTAAGCCTTCCTCATTGCGAGATTTTCATGTAGTTTTTAATGCTCGGAAGTTTGAAACCACGAGTACAAACCATAAAAAATACGAAAAGCCAATGACGAAAAGAACTCGCATTAATTCCAGATCAGGCGCCTACGAGGAAAGTCAAAAAGGCTCGAATAACATTTTGTCGAAAAAAATCCAGGAGAACACGACTAAAAGACATCCGGTTAATTTTTACAAACTGCATCAAGTTTATCACTGAACCCAACCATTGCTGTACACGCAATGCAGGCAAAATACCAGCACATCAGTATTACACTAATTAAAGCCTCACCCCTTTCACCATACCCTTCTCCTTGCAGGAAGGGCACAGAGCCATTGACCTGTGTGACAACCGCGCCAGCCGTTATCAGTCCGAATTCCATCAGCTCGCCTATGCAGATGACGCAAACAGTCACCTCTCCCGCGTCTATCTCC